ATGAAGAAATATAACACGTATTTCTTTAAACAAGTTACAGGAATCGCTATGACAAAGTAATTCACTGTGATTTATAGTCTTGTAAAGTGTTGATCTCATGGAATTAATTGGGAGATTTTCTGTTAACATTGATGGAACCAGTGCTTTGGTCGAGGTGTTCTACAGATTTAAGTTGTCTCACAAACCTGAGAGTTGTTTCAGTTCTATATTCATTTATTCAAGAGAAGCTCTAGATTTGAATCACACAAAAACATTAGGAATATTTTCTATTAAAAAAACCCAGAATATGTGTCTCCTGGTAACTTTTTCTTCATCAAAAAGCTAGGAACACAATTATGGTCTCTACAGTACATGCAAACCCACTTTCTTAGTAACCCAGCTAAATGGAGGACGAGTGGATAGAAATACTTTATTACTTTCAGTTTAAAGTAAGCCTGTCAATTACACTTATTCTCATGTACTCTTATTTCATAGAAATGTACCCTAAATCTATATATTAATTTTATTCAGATGAATTGAAATTTACTACATCTTAGTAGTTGTTTTTAAACTTATCAAAATCAAGGTTGATATTAATAAATAAATAATAGCGATTGAAAACGTAAGTGAAAATTTCCTTGAAGTGGATTACACTGAGATATTTTGTCATTAAATACCTAAAACTCTTCCAAATTATAAGACAATATAGGCAAAGAAGTAAGCTTTCAGATTTTTTTTATAGATTTATAAAAACAAGAAGTGAATAGTTTAGTAGATCACTACAAGAAATAAAAGTAGAAATTGCATACAGATTTACTAGTTTTCTGTAAGATGCTGAGGTGCAGAATGAAACCAATAACATCAGATTTCACAAACGTGAGATTCAGTGCTCACTCCTTGTACAAGTCAAAGGCTAAAAGATAGTGCTAGAAACAAAGCAAAGCTGTTTTTAGAATGGGAAAAACAGTAGAAAATAAACATGATTCACAGTATTATTGATATCTGGTAGGAAAATTGAAAAATAAATATAATTCAATACTGATCAATATTGGTATGAAAAGAGATTGTATAAACGGATGTAAACACAATTTATTCACTGTATGAATGAGCATTAATAGAAGAAAATTGTAGTAAATGCCCTAGTATGAGTGAGTTCTAATACAAAACTCTACAGCTTCTCAGTCAACATTTCTCATGACTAATTTTTAATAAACATAAATTGTTATGTCAGAACTATTTTTGAAACAAACATGCTGTTTGTGAAGGTTAAAATGTTATGTGATAGGAATCCACTTTTATATTGTCTCTTATTAATTATTGAATTACCTTACCTGTTTCACTAGAAACAATATCATGACAGAGCTGGCAGGTGCGGGAGATATTCTGGACCAGAGACCCATGCTGGAACAGAGACCAAAAAGTGTCATCATGCCCGTTCTAATAAATTTGTCCCCAAAATGCTGCTATTTCACTCTACTATAGACCAATTTTATCACCCCGTCCTGTGAAAAAGAAGTAAAAATATCTTCTTTTATGAGTCCAACTGTTTCATGAATCTTCTTACAAATAAGTGAGGAAGTCTATTAAAGTGTCTAGGCTTGCTAGACTCCAACTATGTTTTGTTTTTTCTGATTAAAGGCAGAGAGAATTTACTCTAAACTTGACAGAAAGTCTGCTTACTGTAGCTTGTCTTTTAGCCAATAAGAAGTCAGAAAACTATTAAAACATTAAAGGGCTGATCCTGTTCCCTTGAAACTCCATGGGAATTTTGCCAGTGGTTTTGCAAGAACGCAATCCAGCTCCATAAATACATATATGTATTTATACACACCTCATGAAACCATTAAAGGATGCCCTAGAACACAGAAAACTTCGTGTAGGAAGCTTGCTGAATCTAGTTGGCTGTTAGGAAGCAGCTCAGTAATAACTGTTTTTATCCTTTCTGATCATATTTTACGAAATATGCACAGTCAGTGCAGGATTGGGGAGAATCTGTACAAAAAATGATGTTACCAGCAGTTAAAGTTTTACTACAATTCTTGTGACATTCAGTGTTTTTTTCACAGCTTCAGCTGCGAGGTTGGAGAAACTGTCAATGAATATCAGCTTTACTTTTCAAAAAACTGTTTGCAACTTTTCTAGTTGCAGAGAAAAGCCTGAAAACATAAATAAATCTATGTGTTATACAGGTTCAGGGAATGAAATAATTTCTAATATAATAATTTTAGGGTCTAGCTTATGATTGCAAGTTGGCAATATGGACAGTCAAGAAGATGTTGCCTCCTCCATTTCCAAGAGAATTGGAACTTGCAGCTGTTCGTACCAGAGGATGGCTCCTGCCCTTCCCAGAACTCATGGGCGTCTCTAGCAGCTAAGCTGGATAACAGGCAGAGGTGCAACACTAGGACTGTGGAGGCCAAGAGTAGCCCAGTTTCCAATGCCAGACATAAGCTAAACCCAAACTGTGTGGCAGATACACCCTGCAGCACACTCCATCAAGCTGGCCAGCAGTGTGACTTTACTGCCTCTCTACACACATGCCAAAACTTTCTTCTGGAGGAATCCAGGAGGTGGAAGGGCATGATGTATACCCGTGTCTCATCTTTCAGTAAGTCTGGATGTGGTAAAAAAAAAGAGTACTGGGACATGGGGTACGGAAGTGCTCTGCAGACAAGTATTTGTGTTCAGTTTTGGGCCCCTCACTACAAGAAGGACGTTGAGGTGTTAGAGCGTGTCCAGAGAAGGGCAACAAAGCTGGTGAAGGGTCTGGAGAACAAGTCTTATGAGGAGCGGCTGAAGGAACTGGGGTTGTTTAGCCTGCAGAAAAGGAGGCTGAGGGGAGACCTCATCACTCTCTACAACCACCTGAAAGGAGGTTGTAGCGAGGTGGGTGTCGGTCTCTTCTCCCAAGTAACAAGCGATAGGACGAGAGGAAACGTCCTCAAGTTGCGCCAGGGGAGGTTTAGATTGGATGTGAGGAAAAATTTCTTTACTGAAAGAGTGGTTAAACATTGGAACAGGCTGCCCAGGGAAGTGGTTGAGTCACCATCCCTGGAGGTATTTAAAAGATGTGTAGATGAGGTGCTTTGGGACATGGTTTAGTGGGCATGGTGGTGTTGGGTTGACGATTGGTCTTGATGATCTGAGAGGTCTTTTCCAACCGTAATAATTCTATGATTCTATGATTCTGTGATTCTATTTCAGGGTGGAAATGCATCCAGCCCACTATAGAGGCCTGGCAGTAAGGGCACTGGCTGCTCTGCACTACTGTGCCTCCTGGGTGGATATGTCGGTATACATATTCCTCCCTGCCACACCCTAGGGCAACTTTGGGGACCGGGGAGAGGCACTTCAAAGCTCCTGTAGCAACTGCTCATCTGTGTATTGATACAAGGGATAAAAGCATATTTGCTAATGGCCATAATGAGTAAGATCAGCTCTGTAGCAGGTTAAAACCAGGAGACTTGAACAGTGCTCTGGCATTGGAGCTGTTCTGAGATCACCATAAGAAATGTCCTAGTGCTCTAGAAACCCTGAGGTCTGCCTAGACCCTAGATGAGCAGATCCACAGGGTGTCCTGCAGTACATCCTCACTATTGCTTAGTAGCATGCAAGTCCTCTCATCTTCTCCACTAGCACTCAGCAGCTAGCACTCAGCAGCTGAGGCTCTGTTTTCAGCTTTTGACTTCTACAAGTTGTTAGTTTTAACTGCTCACTTTTAAAAATAATCTGAAGTTTATCCTTGAATAAGCTCTGTGGTCCCCCTCTAGAGTTAATGCTACCCAGGACAGTAGCAGGAGACCCATATTAAAGTATCCCCATGTTGTAATTACACTGATAAATTGTGGCACTAGGTGGTAAAGACAGAATGCAGAGCTGAAATTTGAATTTATGAGTTACTGTTCAGAGTTTTTACTAGAGCAATGTAAATCAGGAAGGTCATAATGCTGACCGCTAGCCACAGCTGCCCACCCCCATTCATTCTCAACCTTACTCCAGCAAAAATCACTGAATATAGCATTTTATTTGAAGGAAGGTCCAGCTAATCTATTTGTTCTTCTTTTATTTTCTCCCTTTTTTCACAGTGTGACAGATCTAACCAATAAATGCACATGCAATACATTTCTCCTATTATATAGAGCATTCTTACATGGCAAATTGATTTAAAAGTTTGTGGTATCAGCATTGATAGAGCATAAGCAGAAAACGGGCTTAGTGAAAAATCTCAGACTGCAGTTGTCAACCAGAAGATACCAATTGACAGAGCTTTTGCTGAAGTCTCTAGAGACTTATTCATAGTCTAGTACAAGGTCTATTTAGTCAAAGAAGACAACAATGCTATGACATTGATGCTGGTTAAATTTTATAATGGGCATAAAACTGTAAAGTTTGTACATATTGAAGAGGTGTCAGTGTTATTCCCAAGTGAACTCAACTGCTTTGAGTCAGTGGTTTCACAGGCCTCAAAATATGCTTGAATACAGCCATATGCAGATTACTCCTGGGAATAGGAACATAGATAAGTGTTTAATCCTTAAAAGGACTTTC